AAAAAAAAAAAAAAAAAAAAATTACTGAAACACATTCATGAGACAAAGCTAAAAAGAAACGTGTAGAAAAATCAAACATTTTCACTGACAGTGGTTTCTTTTTAAGATTTGCCTTGGCCAGGTGCAGTGGGTCACGCCCATAATCCCAGCCTCTTGGGAGGCTGAGGTGGGCGAATCATGAGGTCTGGAGTTCAAGCCCAGCCTGGCCAACATGATGAAACCCGTCTCTACTAAAAATACAAAAAAATTAGCTGGGCACGATGGTATAATCCCAGCTACTCAGGAGGCTGAGGCAGGAGAATCGCTTGAACCTGGGAGGCAAAAGGTTGCAGTGAGCTGAGATTGCACAATTACACTCCAGCCCAGGTGACAGTGTGAGATTCTGTCTCAAAAATAATAATTAATAAATAAAATTTGCCTTTATATTTCTATAAAGCTAACTGCAGCCAATCACAGCTAACCGAAGCCTCAAACTCCGGAGCTCAAGCTTTTTGCACAATATTACTTAAGTAATGCAATACTGGTAACCATCATCTTTTCATGTGGCTTCCAGGATACCAGTCACACTTTCCTCCTAATTCACTGGCATTCCTCCACGGCCTCCGGTGCCAGCTGCTCCTACCTCCCTGATTCCTAACGTTTGAATGTCCCAGGACTCAGTCCTTGTCTCTCCCCCACTCTCTTGGTGATTTTATCCAGCCATGACTTCTCCCTGGAACTATACCACTCAAATGTAACATGCTCAAAGCCAATCCTGTTCCTCCCAGGTCCTCCCCATCTCAGAGCAATTCCATTCTTTTAGTTGATCAGGCCAAAAACCTTAGTAATCCTTGACTCTTACTCTCCATGTCCACTGTACAAATTTTTTAAAAATCTTTTTTTTTTTTTTAAAACAGATGAGGTCTTGCTCTGTCACCAAGGCTGGGGTGTGGTGGTGCAATCATAGCTAATGACAGCCTCAAACTCCTGAGCTCAGGAAATTTTCCCGCCTCAGCCTGCTGAGTAGCTGGGACTATAACTCTTCAACACCATGCTTGGTTCATTTTTTTATTTTTTGCAAAGACAGTCTATCACTATGTTGCCTAGGCTGGTCACAAGCTCCTGGCCTCAAGTGATCCTACTGTCTCGGCTCGTAAAGCGCTGGGATTATAAATGTAAGCCATCACAACTAGCCCCAGCCTGCAAATTCTAACTGCTCTTAGAAAATGTATCTAAAAGCCAAACAGTGCTTATCACCTCTTCAGTTAACCCATGGTCCAAGCCACCATGCACTTGTCTCTGCCCTTAACCCATCTTCAGCCTATTCTCAAGACAGCACCCACAGTTAGCCTGTTAAAACAGACTGTATCACTCATATGCATATGACCCTGATGACATCTCAACCTCGCCCAGAGTAAAAGGCAAACTTCTGACCGAGGTTTACCAGGCGCTATCTGATAAACATTCTATCTGACTTCATCTTCTATCATTCTCCCTTTGCTTATTCACTTCAGCCACATCCACCCGCACCCCCAACCCCCTGCCCCGTTCCTCAATCCACCAGGCACATTCTCATCTCGAGCTCTGCCCAGGACACTCTTCTTCTTGATTCTTACGACTCTCACTGCTTCGCCTTCAACCACTTTATTACAAATTGCCCCCACCCCACCCTATTCCCTAGCACATTGCCCAGTAGCACCTTCCCTGCTTTCTTTTTCTCCACAGCACTTACTACAGTTGACCCACTATATATTATAACTTTATTTATTTTACTCTCCCTGGTGTCCACACCACTACTTTACAAGCTCCATAAAGGCTAATCCCCAACAGCTGAAACAGTGTCTGACACAGAGTAAGCACTCAATAAATATTCAGCTAAATGAATTCGATGACTATTTCAGGCATGCTCTGGATGAGCTGAGGAAGTCGGAAAGCACAAAAATATCTGAAGACAGCTAGCTGGATAATAAGCTCGTCTATTACGCTATGTATATGTTCATGCTTGACCACAAAGAGTTCCTCTTAGCAGTTTTCCACTCAGAACAGAAAGGAATCACTTAATTATCTCCACATGAATCTAAATATACAGAAAGCAGACATACCATATCAATGTAAAAAAGTTTTATGTTTAACACATTCTAGTTTTCACTGCACAAGGTAAATTATCTTTAAGATAACCGAGCTTAGCATTCTTTCAATAGCCCACTACCCACAATCACAGAATAATATCTTTTCACACATACATAACTTTACATATAAAATAACTTGAAATAACCAAAATCATTTTTAAGACACAGCCTGCTTTGATGCTTCATAAAGTTTCTTCTGGATCATTACACAAACACAGACGCTCCTTATGCAGAAAAAGCTGACACAATAAAAGCGCTAGCCACTAAATCAAAATACCCTTCAAAATAACATTTAACTGTTAATGGGCAGGTACAACATATACACCAAAATTTGAATACCTTCAAAAATTCCGAGATACAATCTGTTAACTGTTTGTGGCCTTGGATATTCAACTCCAGTTCATAAAATTTTGATAAAAGCTTAGACTCTCTGCCACACTGGTTGCAACTATAATAAAATAACAAAATTGAGATCAGAGTGGGGAAAGCAAGAAAGTTCTACTGTAGTACATCCAAGAAAGATGGAAAAAGGCATTTATAATCTTAATTCTCTTTCACATAAATTACTTGTTATGTATACTAAAAATGAAATAAAAACAGAAAGTGACTGGTGAGGCTAAGTATTCGTTGGGAAATTTTCTTAATATAAATTTAACAGGTACGAGTACGGCTTTGTTACATGAATATAACACACAGTGGTGAAGTCTACATTTTAATGTAACCATCACCCAAATGTTGTACACTGTACTCATGGAAACTTTTAAAGAGGCATTTTATTTACTTTTAGTATTCTAGCCAGCTCCAATCTTACTCTTTAGTTCACACCACACAGCCATAAAGCAAGGGCAGATGGCAAGAGCTTACCCAGACACAGTTCCTAACACCTGGATGGGTTCAAATGCAATTACTAAGTCACTTGTTTACATGTTCGCGTGGAAATGTATTACTATAAATAGCTGAGGTCCCATGATAACCCACTAAAGCTATAACCAGGAACTGCACTGAAAAATAGTTAACATATGAGTAATTGTTTTAGACTGAAATGTACCATGAAAAAGTCGAAACAGACTTACACAGTTACATAGGCATATTCTCCACAGAACTGCTGTTGAACAATGTTCCGCACATCTGGATTGTTTTGTTTAGACAAAGTATCTTCCAATAGAGACATAAAGAGCTTTGAAAATTCTTGAGCATCCTTCAAGTTTAGGTTAATGAAAAGAAAAATTATTACCTTGTTTTTCAACTTATACTACAAATGGCAATACAATCAACATTCCAGAAACTGCCTATACTTTCAACTCAGCATTTTCAAACAGGGGCTACCGCTGTGTTCAATCAGTTTGTGCCCACATATGAATTTCCATAAATGGAATCAAGTATAATGTATAATGTACTAGACAGTAATTAAAGACTTTCATTCAAAATAGAAATTAATTTTTAAAAAGCATTCTACTTAATCTCCCTTTATAAACATTCTAAGGAATGCTTCGGTACCTCTTAATATTAAAAAAAAAATAAAAAAAAAAATAGTTCTTACCTGCTGTTGCCCAGTGTCCAGGCCCAAGGCTTTAACAAATCCTGATGGATCAATGTATCGCCTATTACTGTTTTGTAACAAGGCAAACAAGTACTGGAGGTGCTCACAAATTGTTTGAGGCTCATAATCTATCGAAAGAAAAATATAAATTTGGCTTTTTTTAAGTTGCTACTTTTCTTTTTTAAAAATGGTACTTCCTCTTCACGTGAGAACATAAACACCCTTACATCCAAACTATATTAATACTTTATTATCATTTTAAAACTTAGAAATAGGCGGAGCTCAGTGGCTCATGCCTGTAATCCCAGCACTTTGGGAGGCCAAAGAAGGCAGATCACTTGAAAACAGAAGCTTGAGACCTGAACCAGAGCCTGGCCAACATGAAGAAACCCATCTCCGCTAAAAAAAAAAAAAAATACAAAAATTAGCCAGGTGTAGCGGAGGGTGCCTATAATCCCAGCTACTCGGAGGCTGAGGCAGAATTGCTTGAACTCGGGAGGTGGAGGTTTCAGTGAGCCAAGATCGCGCCACTGCACTCCAGCCTGGGCGACAGAGCAAGACCCCGTCTGGGAGGAAAAAAAAAGAAACAGAATTAGCAACCATGTTTTGTGGAAGTCATGAGGCAGCCAGGACCGTCCACATACACTCCCCAAATGCAAGAGCCTACCTGTATCAAAACAACAAGAGCAATCATGACTACAGTGTCTAGTCATGATTTCTAAAGTCCAGTTAATTCTAAAGTGCCACAAATGAACAAAAGACAGGAATCTCAAGCACAGCAATTCACACCTAAGTGAAGAATAACCCTAGAATTTTAGAGTTGCAAGTTTTATTGAGCTAGTGCAGGGAGTAGAAACAGAAAGCATGAATCTCAAGAGCCCCGGCCAGAGACCTAAGTCTTATCTTCTTTAAGTTATTAATTTATTGCTTCTCAGCTCCAAATCCACCCTTCTCTGCCTGCTCAGTGATGAGAGATGGGCCCCGCAAATATTTCTCCTTTGCCAGTTATCCAGAAGGTAAGGCTTATCAGTGAAGGGCACTGCAGGGTTTGGTTGTGCCTCTCTCACCAGCCTGTTTGCAGGTCAGCTTCCTCCAGGGCTCCAGGTTCCCGCACCTAACAGTGATCAGCAGCTTCCCCAGCGCCTCTTCTGATAGCTTCACAGTACATACAGTGCCTCCAGAAAGGCACTTTCTCCAAATGACCACCCTGTGAATGGCCTCCTAGACACTCTTTCAGGGGACTCTCTGTAGGGGGTTCCAGGGCCCAGCACCTTCTCATGGACAGTTTCCAGTAGGGATGCCTAGGGAGGGATCTCAGCACTTTTTCAGCCACCCAGTGTATCCCAGCAGTGTCCAAAGAGGTCGGGATCGCAAGCCTGGGCCATGGGGATGGCAGATTCTCCCTTGGATGTTCTCTTTCAGCCCCATGGACACAGGCTGTTCCCTGTATCTGCTGTCCTTATATTCTTTAAAATCATCTTTAATCTTTCTTATTAACTAATTCCTCATTTCTCTAATTCCCTGTTGTTAATTCTCAGCTTTCCCTTTTCAAATTATTGTGTAGCTTCTGTCTTCTAATTGGACTCTAAATATTTCTACTTACTACCAACTGTGGCTTTCAGCAAGTCAATATATCATCTGCAAAATAAAAATTAAATATTACTCTTTAGGCTACAAAACCATGGCAGGCAGGTAAAGGCTATTCAAGACCTGGTGCTGCGGCTCATGCCTATAATCTCAGCACTCTGGGAGACGAAGGAAGCCGGATTGATTTAACTCAGGAATTCAAGACCAGTCTGGGCAACATGGTAAAACCCTGTCTCAAAAAAAAAAAAAA